CGGATAACGAAACGTTATTTAACTTAATGTTGAAACTAACTATATTATATATTAGAATGTGAATAATCAATATATTATATATTTAAGTAAGTAAGAATATTAAAATTCTGATTATAACAGCGATAGACATAATTATTAAATCGCGACATACTTCTACTACGTATTAATAGTAATTAGCCATGACACACAATATGTGTTATATTCAATGGACTTAAGTGTTAAGTATTACCGTATATTAAATCATGGTTTTTGACATATACGAGTCAGCTAAGTCTTGACTCTGAAGGCAAGGTGACTTTATAACGTGGGAGAGTATTTACACCATACGTTTTGACAACAATTATAAAATTGTTCTTATTATGACATTATCACAAGAAAATCAAAACAAATTTAAAAATTTGGAGCCTGTGGCAGTGTACCTTTAACGCTGGCAGCATTTCCTCGCTGTATTGCGATACTTATTTATTGAGCCAGGAAAGTGCCAGCTCTGGGGTAACCGGTACTATCTACTAGGCGCCAACTTAAATCTTTAATAAGCGCCTGTGCACTTGAACCCCACGGCCCAAGAATATCTACTCCATAGGGAACAAAATCGAAGTTGGAGGACTCTTAATATTTTCTTTCGTTGCAAATAAACGATTTATTATTATCTGTAAGATTCAGAAACGAGACAACTCTAAGCCTGACTCCCATTTGTCAAAAATGTGATGGATTTTGACATTACATCAATATATGTTGTGCTAATTCTCGTTTCTGATAAGGATCCTCCTAATCAGTGCGAAGAAATACAATAATTGAACGTGTTCAATTTCCAGTTCATTTCAAGCAGCTATGCAGGCTACAAAGATGATTATTATTAAAATGTACCTGTATAGAAAATTATAGTTTGCGTTCCTAGACGTTTGCGACGTTTCCATCACGTGCATTTGTATGCTAATTAACTCGTTGGCATTAATATTAGTAGTATTTATTTTACGAACAAAATATTATTCAGGATCTATCATTTATCTAAATTTTGAAGTCTTTATTATACTTATAAGATATATTATTCAGAATTTTAACAAAAAATAAACCACGAATTTTTTCTCTGTAAAATACAAGGAAACGAAAATAAAGTTCACTCGTCACCTCAATTATCTCCCTTTTTACTCGTTTTTTATCACCATCCAAAAACCACAAAATCATCTCGATGGCCATTCCATCGCGCGTCACTACGATGCGTCGCCTTCCAACCTCCACAGACAACTTATGAAAGCGCAAAGCGCGCCAAATTCAAATAAAAGAAATGTGATTTCATTACATACTTATAAATTTAATGTACTAAAAATTTCGGTTATTTTGTCGAATCTCGGCTCCTCTTTAAAACAGCTCCAAATTTTGTTCTACATTTTCATAACTCATGATTTGTGAAATGAATGCAAATAAGGTGCAAATTATGTATTAAACAATCGACTTCAGTGGTCATGATGTCATCAAACATCAACATGACTTATTAACGTTTTAAATAAGACTGGAATGCGAACTTACCCATATGCCATTTATGTATAAAATTTACAGATCTGCACATGTATGTAAACAAACGACAAGTCTGTGCATGACTTTAAATTACATAGAGTAGGGAAGACGGGTAAATAATCAAATTATCGAGAGATTTAAATTAACGGGTTGGTGTCAAATTATCGATAGTCCACTGTACAAAGAGACAGGACTACCTGTTAGCTACATGTTGTTGTCGGGATACAAACGTTGCTAAGAATAACTTGCGCGGTGTTATATTCACAGATGACTAGGTGCATGACAGAGCCAGCGAAGTGTGTGTGTGTGATTGTTAAATTAGGTTATAAATGGTATAGATACAATCGACTGAACACCTTATAAGCCTTCGGTCATCGACTTATCCTATCCTAATTTCCTAATATAATTTGTCCAAAACGTAAGTCAACCGTCACGGTAATTGCCTCATAAGGTCAGTTTTACTCGGTGTTGATGTCGGTAACTGGATATCTTCCGTGTGGAATCGATATTACCCGATTATCAATGGATTATGCCCTGCCGCAGTGAGGATAAGAGGGTTATGGATTGTAAGTCAAACCTACAAAACAGAGCCGGCTTTTTTTGTGACGCCAGGTGGCTCATCTGTGATACCGTTACAGTCCTCAATGTGAAAAGGCTCGCAAGTACGTTGCCGTCCTTTTAGTAATGTTAAAACATAAATATCTCATTATTGTGCGTAACCACTATGACCACCTTTTTATTCATATCATAAATATGTGACTGAAACGTTGATTTTTAATACTTCCACAAAATTCACTCATAATAGCGACTTATACTGCTTCTGGGTAAGGGTAAAATTGAAACTAAACCTTCTGGGTCATACTTCTCTACATACTCATACATTCTATACGATCATACCAAATGATACCTGTCAATTGGACCCAACGTTCCTGCATGATATTTAAAGGATTAATATTACAATGCACCCACCCATGCCGGGCGGTGACACTTCCCAGATCCCCTTGAACACACACAAAAATTTCCAAAATCGGAGTTGAGAGGAGCGTACAGAGAATACTTTTAAGATCTAAACTATTTATATTTATAGTATAATATATATTATACTATAAATATATTATAGTATAATATGTAAATTAATAATTTAAACAAATACTCAGCTTAGCTACACGTGTTTATATATTTAAGTGTTCATTAGTCATGTTATAAAATAAAAAAGCGGAGTGAAGACTAACAAATTTCTTTCATGATACAAAAAAAAAAATATTTGCATACCTAAAATATCAGATACGAATGTCGTAATAATTTTTAAAATATGGCTTAATTTTAATAAGATATTGAAACCTTAAAAAATGAAAGTTGTTTCACTTGTAATGTCGCTCGTGCCCTCATCAACAAACAACTTTTTAGAAACCAAATTTGTTTCTTATTTTATGAAGCTTCTACCAAGGACAATATTTAAAATCGACGCGAAGGAAAAATACCTGACATTATGGCTTTTTTTATAGAACAGGGGACAAACGGGCAGGAGGCTCACTTGATGGTATGTGATACCGCCGCCCATGGACACACTCAACGCCAGAGGGCTCGCGAGTAAGTTGCCGGGCTTTTAAGAATTGGTACGCTCTTTTCTTGAAGGACCCTAAGTCGAATTGTAATCGAAGATACTCAAGAAAACTATCAGAAAGATAGATTTATTTATTTCGTAAACCTAAAGCTAACATAAATTACATATATATACAATATACACAATCACAATTATATACTAGACATAGAGCCAAAGATGGCATACATAATATTATGTACTAAAACGTTCAAACATTTAAAAAATAGGAATTATTTAATTTAACTAAGTAATACCTAATTCGGTTGTGTTGTGTGATGGTGTGAAAGTGAGGGTATGTACCTGAGGCCGTGTATCTGGGGTGTGATCATGATGCAGGTGATTTAGCGCTATGGATATTTTTAATACTCCTTTTAAGCATCAAAGCCTAAAAATGGTCATTGTATGACCGAGTTGCGTGATACAAAATTGGGTTTTTGCATCGTTTGATCTTTAGCTGTATCCTATGGGAGAACAGATGATGATGTATGATAATGTTGATTGAGATTATTTTCCTATTCTTACGTTTAGGCCTCATTAAAGGGTTACGAGACATTTATCTACCTTAATTAGTAAACAAATTAGTCATTCATTTCAACATCGGACGTCGAGGCAGAATACGAAATATCCACACATATCACCTCGACGTCCGTCGTTCCACAACTGAACATTTTTTGAGGAAATTTTACAGCGCACCACCACAATGTTGAAGCTGCCTACTTAGGGCCCTTCAAAAAAATGAGTACCAATTCTTAAAAGGCCGGCAACGCACTCGCGATTTCTGGCAATGAAAGTCTCCATAAGCTGTGGTATCCCTTTGCATCGGGTGAGCCTTCTGCCAGCTTGCCCCCCGTTCTATAACAAAAGAAAGTCAAAAGGTTATGTTTAAGTTTAATCCCGTAGAGTTTTCTTTATTTTTTGTTCATAAATAGTAACTGTACATATCGTCAATTCTTATGAGAACAAAAAGGTATTATAAAGAAACGTCAAAAGGCAGGTCTTTTATGAATAAAAGATAAGATAACGCATGTATATCACTATTATTTCTTAACGAGCCCAAATATTTGATGAGAACTCTTATGTTGAAATTAAAATGTCATTAACCCCATCAAATAAAACATGAAAGTCAGAGAAACTGTTGACTGTTTTAAGTCGACGATACAGTGGACAGAAAATTTATTTTCCCCCGTGCATATACATTACACATAAATGTATAATATGTCAATAAATAGATAAAATATCGACTTGTTTTTATTGCTTTTTTCTCTTGGACTGTTCGTGATTTCAAATACCTCAAATTGTGTCAATTATACGAATTTTAATTTGTTAAAAGTGTATCCTTAATTAGTACGTATTATACTTTAATGATGGCATCGCAAGTGAGACATAATCTTAAACTATGCTGGAAACGTTCAGAAATCCTCGGAGCACTGAGGTCGCTTCGTTAGGCCTGCGATGTGCCCAGGAGACTTCTGTGCTTCTGGAAGGAGCAAGGCTTAGTGTGCCAGGACTTTACTAAATTATTAGAGTCTAAACTCTCACTTGGGCCGTCGTACGGAAACTGAGTCCACAAACCTTTAAATTCAACTATGCTGGAAATTCTGGCATATCTTCAAAACCTTTTTTTATTTTCAAATATAACTCCTCTGTCTTTACTATTATTAATAAAAATATGAATTTAAGTAGTAATTTATTTACTGTGAAACGTATTTTATTACAAATAATTACTTTGAAACGTAGCAATTTTCGTTTCGGGTTTCAGTAGTGGGATGAAATAAACTGTCTCTTTACATTGCTTTCAAAGTTTTTAAATCCCAATACTAAAATAAGTAAGGCATTATGTTCAGCGAAACTGTTCACACTTTATGTTTTATTCCGTTCACAGGGAGGTAACACACCAAGCGGCAGTCCTCGTACCAGTGGTGGTGAAGTTACTCTTGCGATACCACACAACAGAAGCTATGGGGCAATCGGAGGCGTGGAGAAGGTCACCTACACCTGGGCAGATGTCAACGCCTTCGCCACGGAGACCAGGTCTAGAAATAAGAGGTTCTGGAACTGCTGGAAGACCTCCTCAGACAGAATGTTTCAACAGCGGAAGCAGCTGTTAAAAAATAGTAAGTTTATAAAGTCAAGGCTATGTCATACATACCTGGATCAATTCCCGGACGTACTAGGGATGAGTCAAAAGTACCTATAGCCCATGAGCATGTATAGTGCATGTCATAAAAGATGATTATGCCAGAGATTTGTCAGGACCGTAGCAATACGTGGTCTCTGTCTCCTCCTTCGGGAAAGGCGTGAGAGTACAGACCCCAAATTATTACTAATATCGCAGCACATTTAAAATGTACTTGTATATGAAGAAAAACTTTCTTCAATGTTTAATAAAAAAAAAACGTCAAATTTCACTGCATTATTTACACCAGTCTTAGCTGTTAAATAATGATTGTTATAACGCGTCTAAGACCATAGTAGATACTTATTTATTAGTTTATAAATTACCAAAAAATACAGTTCAATACAGTAAAATGGTCTTTATTATTCTTTTATTTTTTTCTCTAACAGGATTAAACGAGCAGGAGGCTCATCTGAAGTTAAGTTATTCCGCCCATAGACACTCATATTGCTAGAGGGTTCGCGAGTACATTGCCGGCCTTTTAAGAATTGGTACGCTCTTTTCTTGAAGGACCCTAACTCGAATTGCATCATTGGTAGAGATGCGTTGTAACAGTCTACTAGCAGTAATCAACTTTATTTGAAATTCCTCTATTAAAGAATATTATCGGGGTAACTCAGCAAAAATGTTCGCTAAATGGTAATTAATAGAATAACAATATTGCGTGCGCGCGTTTGACTGATGTTTCACAGTGAAAGCAAACACTTTCCTATCTTAAACGTTTTTAGACGCATGCAGTTTGATTTTTTTACGATTACTTAGTAATTTTTATGATCGTTCTCTTAATTTGGTTTATGATTACTAATTAAAGCAATAAATAACTGTTGAGTTATAAAATTGAAAATGTCTATATTTTAATAGTGGTATTTGGTTTTAAATGTTAACGAATTCGGATTAATTCTTATCTTTAAATCTAAATGCAGTTGATTTTTTACTTTAGCGAACTCTTTAACGTTTTATAATATCTCAAATGAACAAAAAATAACTTTACTAGAACTTACACTAGAACTTACTGATTTTCCTCACATCATGGTAATCCATATTTCGAATTTTGAACATTAAGCCCCTATATAACTAAACAAGTTAAAACAGTGCAATTTAATTTATTTATTTTAAAAAGGCACACTAATGAAACATATACAAACGCTTAGTGAGAACACACGACAAAAACACAATACATGAATGTGCATCAATGACAAGTGTGCACAACATTTAAAGGGAAACATTAAAATGATAAAAGAGAAAGAAATTATATAAAATTTAGTGTTAATGTGTAAAAAGTAAAATATTAATTTATTCTAGGATCGATTTATGAACCATTCATGTTATATATTTGAAGTTACGCTGTTCCTAGTAGATATTGATTCCAGCCCATCAAACGTTCATGGAAAGTACTTACTCGACATTGTTACAAATGTGTGATTTAAAGATAGGTTAAATCTATTCATTCATAGGCTTTATATTTCGTTAAGCCGAGAGTGTTTTCAGACAGAATATTTTAAATTACCGTAATATATAACTTGATATTTGTGATTGGGATTTAAGGCCACGATGTTAATGAGCAAAAACGAGGTCACTTATTAATTAAAAATTATCGAAATCACGAGCTTATGGTATCAAGTTCGATTTCCTTTCGTAGCGCAAATTATAATTACATTTGTAATTTTACTTCGCTTCTAGAGTGCGAGCTTGGTCAATCCTCGCACATAACAGTGAAATTTTAGTGGCGATTGTACTGCTAGGAAACTAAGACTTATATTGGCGACAAAGAAAGTCGTTTGTTAGGTTGTATGGAAATGGATAAAGGTTTTAGGGATTGCCGTTATCGTTTCTTTGTGGTTATTATTTTGCAGTTACTTAAATCTTCAAAAATGCGTGGATAAAATAGGGGCTTCAGTTTTAAGCAGATTTACTGCAATTTATCCCCCCACCTCTTGTCAGCAAAAGTAACCAAAGCTCTCAAAAATAATAGAACATAAACGTATTAATTTTTTTAGGAATGCATTTAGTTTTTAAGCACAGACGATGTGTGGGTAATATGTGTAGAAAAGTAAATAATTACTGTAGACGTAATCACCAAATAAGAAAATTAATGACCACCCACCCCTAAACTCTAAAGTGCTTACGTAATACTTGAACCCTAAGTGGGTTTTTATTACAACACACTGAGTGCGAGAAACTCGGAAACTAAAGATAGTTCTAGTAGGCTTTGTAATTAGTATTTTCCTTTAACATGAATTGTCTCAAGAATGCGTTCAAGATTACGATGCACAAGTATTATTAAGGTTAGTTTCATAACTATGTCGCAAATAATACATTGTTCCTTCGTTGTTCATGATATATGCGTGTTTGATTTCCCAGTAAATATGTTTTGGCAAGTATTTGTATTCTGTTCTTATGACAAGATATGATAATTAATATGACTATGTTCTCAAAAATATACATCGTTGTAAAAGAAGAGCAGAACCGAAATTCGTACTCACGATACTCAGACATCAGTTACCAGAGAGAGAGAGAGAGAAGGTCTATGACCCATAGTATAAGTCATATTTTACGATCAACTTATGGCCATTCTTAACTGGGAATTCGTTTTACAAGTGTAACCTTTTCTCCTAGCTTTTTATTCGCCGGAGGACTTATTTAACCAAACATCGTATCATTTGCCAGAATTTTGGCTTGCAGCATCTTACATAGAAACTCCAGCAGATACGATCGGGACTCCTTGTCTGCTAAGAGTGAACTAAGGATTTTAGTTGCAAACCGTATGTCATATATTTTTATACAATATGCAACTTTGTCCATATAAAATTAAGATGTATATCATTTAGGTTTTTTCTTAACACTTCTTTAGACAGAAGGTTTTGAAGTACGTAAGCAAAACAAAGTTACACAAATTGTTGATTTTGGCTCGTCGACAATTATTTCTCAAATTTTATAATGAATCTAATATATAAAATTCTCGTGTCACAATGTTCGTTCCCATACTCCTCCGAAACGGCTCGACCGATTCTTATGAATTGTTCTATGCATATTCAGAAAGTCTGAGAATATGACATCATCTATTTTTCATCCCCCTAAATGTTAACCCCTAAATTTTAATTTTTGAGGCAAAACTTTTTGTTTTGACTAAGCATTTTTGTATGATACATACAATAATACATACAACCCTTAAATATCACCCCTATTTTTAAATTATAGTCGATAGTCATTTTTATGGAACTAAATAAATGTGTCCTAGAAATAATAAACCGTGCAAAACAACTCAGAAATGAAATATAATCCATAGATTAAGAATAATAATAATAGCCTTTAATTCAAATACATTTACATTTAAACACGTTTCTTCTAGTGTATCTGTGTGCCCTTTTTTGGCAATGGCCTCCTACAAAATCAATAGATTAACTACTAATTAAAAAACGTTTAAAGTTTTACTACATAGTTGAACTGACAACGTCATAAAAAAAATATTGATGGGATGGTTGCATTTTTCAAAAAAAAAAATTAAATTTTATTTGTTTGATAGGTATTTTGTATGGATATAGAGAAGGAGGTAAATGAAATCACAATTGAATTGATCAAGTTACATTTATTTGTACGCATAAATACAATTATGTCAATTTTAAATGGAACCCTCAGAGCAGGTAACGACTCAGAGCGAGGTAACGCCTCAGGAGAGGTAACCCTCAAGCAGTAACGCCGCATGAGTCATGTTTTTCGTGCTCAGCGCTCCACGATTATAAGACGTTGTCACGTCAAAAATATAACACATTAATAAGCTTCTATTTGTACGTACTTTAACTTCTAAAACTGATTAAACCCGACATTTACAGTTAACGGAGCTGCTTACCCCGGTGAACTTCTCGCAATAATGGGTTCTTCGGGGGCCGGAAAGACCACACTCCTCAACACTTTAACCTTCAGAACACCATCTGGAGTTGTGGCGAGTGGTACCAGGGCATTAAATGGACAGCCGGCTACTCCCGAGGCGCTTACAGCTTTGTCAGCTTATGTGCAGCAGCAGGATTTGTTCATCGGCACGTTGACTGTTAAGGAACATTTGATATTTCAGGTATGTCTAAGGAACTGAGGTAATCGTCACATTGCTAACTAAATCATTTCAAAAGATTATTCTGTATATTCGACTGAATAAATAAGCTGAATAGAACGAACAACAAATTCTAAAGACTATTTCCGAATTATATGTCAAAAACCCTGGATTTGACATACGACGAAAGTATTGTCTTTTATTAACATAACCTTTACAATTTAAAAAAATTATGTAAAATAATTGTAAATTTATAATAATATATAACTTCAATCCGGTTAAAAAGTGTTTTCTTTATACGACGAAAGTGTCGTTTTTTTATATCAGGGGCAAACGGGCAGAAGGCTCACCTGATGATTAGTGATATCCGCCGCCCATGGACACTCTCAATGCCAGAGGGAATTGGTATGCTCTTTTCTTGAAGGACCCTAAGTCGAATTGGTTCGCAAATACTTCAGTGGGCAGTTGGTTCCTCATAGTAGCGGTGCCCGGCAAAAATCGCCTTGAATAACGCTCAGTTGTTTAAAGGATTTATGGAACTTCTCGCGATAATACGTTGAGACTTTTTATTTCTGCCGTTTCATAATTAGTAGCCTGCATATGTGTCAATAATAATTTTCCAAAAAAACTATTGATAGTCTTCCAATACTTTCCTGTAGATCAATTCTTTTACTCGTAGTATGAAACGCGCGTATTAGCTCGTCTTTGGATGCGCATGTAGGCACGTATAGGTGCGCTATGATTTTACGTATACAACTAAAACACAATTGTAAGCAGAAGATTGTTTAAATATAATACTTCATGAGTAGGCGGAAGATGGTAGTAAAAATCTCGTTGTGATAAATTGTCAATTAAGAAGTCAATAATGTGACAAGTGTGTAACGGGATTATTTAAAGTTTGTCGTTAAGAACTAACGGGAACGGACGATAAAAGTCCGGTCCACTGATTCAAAAAGTTTAAAAAAACTACTTTGGTTCATTAGCTATTTGTTTACTGAAGGAAATGATTTGATGGCTCTATATATCTCTGGGGCATTAGTAAAAATAAAATATGTACGAAAATAGAGAAATACATATTATTCTCTAATGTTTTTCTAAAATAAAAAATGTTCCTATAATTGTATATATAATATATATGTATATATCTTCTGTGCGTGTGTTCTAGTTCGAGAATCATTTAGTATTAATTTTTTTGCATTTAGGACGTGTCTACGTCGGTAGGGTCCGTTAGTTCTGCAATAAAATGACTACAGGTTATAATTAATAATATTTTTGCAGGCTTTGGTGCGAATGGACAGGCATATCCCGTACGCACAACGCATGCGGCGTGTTCAGGAAGTTATAACAGAGGTATGCTTACGAGTAACCATTTCTTAGTATTTCATACGTATCATTTATTATTATATTTAATTTAATCATTTACAAGAAGATTATGGGCATAGAAAGACTACATAAAAATTTATTTTTAAACTTATAAACAACTTTAATATAAACTTCGGTTGCAAGCAAGGGTATTCTGTAAAACCCAGTACCGATGGGATTTATACATCTCGTATTAGGTGTCTGTACCGCACGATCCTAAGGTGATATCAGTGGTGGTTTGGAAAGAACTACATACAACAGAAACAGAATTGCTATGGCCAATCGAATTTACAGAGTACCGGTGCTGATCTTTATAAAAAAATATCTAAATAAAAACAATAATTTGAATTAGTTACGTTTTTCTCTGTCTATCCAAATCATAATTAAAAATCAATGAAAACCTCATTTTCTTCTTAAATGGGTTAAAAAGGCTTTTGGGAGGCTTTTACATTTTCATTCGCTTATAGTCACAGCTCAAAGCTTCACGCTTAGTGAATTCGTTAGAATTATAGAGAATAATAGTGTAACAACAGGTTTAAAAAAATGAATTATTAATAAGTTAAATTAAAAAATACGTATTACATATAAGTGATCGTGAGAAACTGCTTGACCGACGAATGACGTAGGCGACAAGGTACATTGTACCGACATTTGAATAGAAAATATAAGTATAATATGATAATCTAGCCGTGTTGTAAGGCTTCCTATTAACTGTAATGATGCTAGTTCCTGCGCAGAAACAGTACTGGGGCCTCCACAGGGCCAGATGTTGTCCATCGGGAGCCCTGTGAATTATCGTTGTTAATTTTTATTAATAGTTTAATTTAAACTGTTGAATTATCGTATGAGCTTTACAAGATTAACTTAATGATATTCTCCCATTTTAGTCAAGTGTTTAGGTGAATATTAAGTATTTTTTTATGCAAACCAATTAATAAACCTGACAAGAATGTAATATGATTATAGTCGAAAGATTGAAGAAAGCATTGAACCATTTCGATACTTAGTCAACGTGAAAGGTTCTTCACACATATACATTTACAACCACATTTTTGTGGTTAATAAATGTATGGTTGCATGATAGAAAAAGTTATACAAAAAATGTATTAACTATATATGAGAAATAAAATTAAAGTACTTTGGTAACATATTTAAGATTTTATTATGTTCTTAATGATGAGGTCAATAAAGTAAAAGGTTCTCTCCAAACTTTTTTATCAGTTATTGAAATCTTACGTCCTAAATTTTATAGGTCATTTTTTTTTGCTGACAACGCAATGTTTTTTTGCAACGGCAATTGTGCCAATGTTACTTTTCTTATTTTATTATAGGCAAATATTAACTTTAGTATTAAAATTTTGTGGTCATTTTTACTTAAAGACTTACGTATGCATACAAATTTAGGACATTCATTGCTTGTTATAATAAATAATAAAACTAATATAGATAAAACAGTTGAAAACAAAATAATAAAGAAAATTAAAATATACAAACTTTTTATTTGATAAACTTCCGCGTTTATAAAAAAGGTTAATACTCGATAAAAATAAATTTAACCACACATTGAAATATACACTTGTGTATTTGAATTTTTTCGCACACTCGATCCACTGGGCTAACCACAGGTCTCAACGATTAACCGCATTGCCCCAAATTGTGCCAAGGCCGTACCTGTATCTAGTGGTGGATAACATTACGCCCATAGCAATATCATTACCTGTTAGCTAAGGTCGTTTACCCAGTGTGCTATCGTGTGTCTGCGGTGAAGAAATCCATGCCATTCTAACGTAATCCTGAAAACATTTGTAGCTTTTGATTAAGAATGCAGTATGAATGAAAACGACTACTATTTAAGCCTTGACTTGTTTAAGCTATCGCGGAATATGCTTAATATATATATGAATATTATTAATACAAGAAGTTATTAGATCACCTGCATCATGAGCACACACCACATACACACTCTCACGTACACACCCTTACTTTCACACCATCACTCAACACAGCCGAATTAGGTATTACTTAGTTAATGTATTTAATCATTTTTATTGATTTTTCATTACTTAGTTTCGTAAATGTTTTAACCTTTTTGTATTTATTATGTATTCCATATTTGGCTATATCTTTAGTATAATTGCTTAATTAATATAATATAATAATTAATATAATTAATTAATTAATTAGTTATATATAATTATTGTTAGCTGTAGGGTTACTTAATAAATAACTAAATCAACCTAGTGGCGCGTGACTCGACGGCCGTGTGTTGGAATCCCGTTTTTTCCAATTCCATTGGATTTATGTATGTGCATGTGACGATTCTTTCATATTCAATCGGAGAGTGGTAATCACATATGATGGTAACCTACTAGTAGAAAAAAATCACGAGTTAGATACAATATTCTAGAACTGCAGCGCCACTGGTATCGTAAACAGTTAAATTTTTTAAACAGTCCCCCTGTTTCAAAATTTGAAATGTATAAACAAAATATATCAAAAATGATTTGAGAAATTCAAATAACAAATCTCTTTAATCAGGAAGCCAGACCTGATAATATTAATAGCCTATTAGACCGGTCAATGTACTGAATACTATAATAAACAATCTGGGAAATTTGGGTCTGATTGACTGATATGCGCGAATAAGTCAATCCAATTCAAATAGGTACAGTTTGTTCGTTCGTTTCGGCCTGTTGCCGTCCACTACTGGACATCTAACGCCTTCTATCCACCCTCACCAGATCATCATTTCACCTAGAGGTAGGCCGTCCAATTATTCGCTCACTAGTCCTCGGCCTTCATTCCAGGACCTTTTTGCCCCATCGGCCATCTGTTCTTCGGGCAATGTGCCCAATGAAGTCAATACAATTATCGCTATGTCAGTGACTGTGAGTTAAAATCCCTAAGCAAAACTTGCTTTTTTCAGTCTAATTACACTGTTTTAACTAAAATGCTATTTAAGGGGGGATGGAGAAGTAGTATTTTTGTATGAAAAACCTTGAGAACGGTCCATTTGCGTATACGGAACTAAACAGCGTTCATACAGTTAAATTCAATACTCTCGTAAACGTAAATTAATCAATATTTTTTTTATAAATTTGACGATTATTTAATGATCCTTATCCTTGGGATTGATTTACTCCAGTTCAAACAATTTGTATGACTCAAAACTTGGCGATTAAAAACAGTGGCGGAGAGTTTCTTGCCAGTCAGTTCTTCTTACCTGCTCTACGCCCTTGACTTAAACGTAGTAAATGTAAATTTAGAATCAATTTACCATCTTTTCTGTTGACGTTCATATGTGCACTTGGTTACCTTTATGAATAAAGTTATTTTGAGTACGCCGTTTGAAAAGGTCATTCCAAATGTCACACTGCAATAACGCTTAGAAATGTAATCAAAAAAGGTCGGTTTTTCCAATTTTCATGTTGACAGCGTCGATAAAAGCACTTCAATATTAACATGATATAACTTTTGAACACTTTATACAAACAAAAACGTTTTTATTCGATATAATATACCTACATAATATAACCAGGCCTTGTGTTTATTGTCGGTATCTGTATTATAGATGGTGGATACTACTCAAAGGGACCGCCCTATTCTGAGAAATTAGAATAAATGCTTTGAATTCTAATATACAAGGTTTGTTTACTTATATCAAAGCGTTTATACGTTCTTGTATATTTGTAAAATAAGAGTAACATTCCACATTGTGAACTGCATAAAAATCTCAGTAATTACAAATGACAGTCACAAAAAATAATGGTTTTATACAACACTCAACACATATCTATTATGTTATTATATTATTTATTTATAATATTTATTTATACTTCGTTACATTTATAGAAAAACGAATAACATAACACATACAAATTATTAGTGATGCAACGGGCGGCCTTATCGGTATCAAACGATCTGTTCCTAAACCTAGTAAGGAAAAAAACTAAAAAAGGAAATATGATGGGTAAAGTGCAAGAAACGCACAACCAAATCTTATAAAAATATAATAGAATCACCAACCTTAATCTAAAATAATACAAAAAATTTAATAAAATAAAATCTAAAAAGGTAATCTCACGAATTCATGAATGAATCTTTATGCAATAAAATACTTATTTCTATTCACGAATGAAATAAAAAATGCATACCATACCACCTTCATACACCGGTATTCTTAAGGCTACAATTATTTTCCATTAGATATCTACAATGTCTCTGGACAGGGCCAAGCGATGCAATGAAATGGTCGAACTGGTTTGACCAGTTTATTATTTAAATTATATTCAGAAGACGCTAAATTGTGATAAAAATGTTTAGATGTATATATTTTCTCTTATTTAAATATTTTTGCGTAATACAATCAGTTTGAAAACTTAACCATTATATATAAACTTTGCTTTACTAAGAAGACAGTAACTATAGAGTTAATCTTAAAATTATACGATTGTAAAATCTAAGAGAGCAGTGTTGGCCTAGTGGCTTCAGCATGCGACTCTCATACCTGAGGTCGTAGGTCCGACCCCCGCGGCAGCAATGAACATTCATTATATGTGCGCATTTAATAATCATTCGAACGGTGAAGGAAAACATCGTGAAGAAACCGCTTACCTTAGACGCTGTCGAAGGTTGCCGCGTGTCAGGCACGGGGGTCTCATCACCTACTTGCCTATAAGATTGAAAAATGATCATGAAACATATATATAAATCTATGTTGTAAAGCCACTAATTTATTTAATTATTACTGTCTAAGAGATTTCAGAAACGCTAAGTCTAACTTCCACACGTCAAAGATGAATTTCTTAAGGCGATTTAAACGCGAGTCGTAGTTCGTGCTAAGTCTCCTTTTTAAATATTTTCCTAAAAAGTACATCAGGTAATTTCTACACGCATGAAATAGCATTTGCTTTTCGTTTTGCTAATAAAGAAAAAGATTAATTGAAGAGAACGTACAAGATACGAGACAGAGATAAGAGCGTACCAATTCTTAAAAGGCCGGCAGCGCATTCTGGCCCTCTGGCATTGAGAGTATACACGGGCGGCGCGACGGTGGGCCTTCTGCCCGTCTGCTTTATAAAAATGGTCATAACTTAAGCCCCTTGATTTATAAAAATGATTAAGTAATGTCACTCTAAACTAAAGTGCTTCTTCGTCTCTTTCTGTCAATTTGTGTTTAAAAGAGAAAGAAAACTTAGTTAAAAACGGTGCAATTGTAATGATATAATTTATTTATGATTAGATTCATAAAGTTATGTCATAAATAAAATCACTCGTCAATTTCTATTCATAATTTATTTTACGACCACAGTTTTCTTGTATGTTTATAGTGATAAATATCATTCGGCTGTTATTAGTTTCAAGGCGCCTTAGAGTGCTTATTAAATTAATAGGATATAAATTATCTATTCATATTTAAGCCACCGCTTTATTTATATAATGGCCTCTTAAAATTATATTTGACCAAGAGATGAAATATTGCAAACAACTAAATCTGTTTCGTTACTGGCGCTTCTAAACGGGCCATGTTTTGCTGCAACACTGTGGCCGGCAACATTGCAAACAATAGCAGCCACACTATGCAATATTGCAGTAATGTCCCGGCCATATAGCCAAACATGTTTTGTATAGCCACATATGGCCGATGTTGCCCCGATGGGTGGCCGGACGATCGCTAGGCTATCGAATTCAACTGCAATATTGCACAGCCAGTTCTATTGTTTTTTCAGTCACTCTCTTTGTTATGGCACAGTGTATCCTTTTCTACGCGACATGAAGTTTACTATGAGTGAAGTGTGCCTGTTGCTATATTCTGTGTTTTGCGATCAGCTGCATTTTGACGTTAGGTTACTACTTAAAATTGACTGCTTTTGACATTTTAGTAAAGTTCTTGAATAATTTATTATCAAGGCATATTTCTAGACTCAAATTGTCTACAGTTTCACGCCTATTTAAGTAAGGTCGAATCCACAATCTCTTCTTTTCTATTTCTTTTTTAAAACAATATAAGCTGCTGCGACAAGTGTGATTTCGTCAGCCATTGTTGCCGGTTTGTGTAGCCCGTTTAGGAGTCTGCATCATGGGCCATACTATTGCAGACATATTGCAACACATTGCCCAGCCATAGATTGTTCGGCCATCAGCTGCATTAAAATATTTTTGTAATGGCCGGGCAATTAGTGGCCAACAGTGCAGCCATCAATTGCAGCAAAACATGGCCCGTTTAGACGCGCCATACGAGTGATATAGACACAATTTTTTAGATTTATCGCTTAGTTATTTACTCGTAAATTAATAATATTGTTGATGTTCTTAAGCTTCTAATATCCGCGCATTGGTATGTGAGGTCGACGATTTACGTTTGGCTTATTATTTTTCACACTAGCTAGTTCGGGCTCACTGCATTATTCGTAGTTGTCTTGAAGTGCAGCAAGAAGGAACTTCTTAACAACAAACAAAGGCTGTAATAAAAAACTGTTATTAGCTAATAAAACTAAGTATTTGGTACTGATATAAGTTTGATTTGTTTAAACACATTTTCATCTTATAGTAAAAGAAATTTTGTAATAATTTTGTTATTATTAATCTTGCTGAAATTGACCTAGGAATCTCGGTGCCTCACTTCACGGGTATACGAGTACGTGTTACATTATTTGTGGATGGTCAATAATATTTTATGAGATAATTTAGAATTGTATTCCGTTGTATTTTTTTAATTTAGAGTTAAAGTTTATTCTATTTTGATAATTTAAGATTTCATTGATTTTTTATCATTATTATTGCTATAAATTACGTTTCGCAATCTTGCAATTCACATTTTTTTACTATTTCTTTAATCAGGATTGGCTGCAAGTGATCGCTAAGTAGAAATAAGGCCGCCCGTGGCTATTTTCTTTTTGTTTGTTGTTATACAGTAAATAAATAATGTATGTATTAAACTTTGAAAAGGTTTAAGTTTAACGTATATTTACTACATAAATCTCGTAAATTCTAAAAACAAGTATCAGATGCGATCCAAGCCGTTTATGCCTTGCAAATTTATATTTTGTATTTCCCTGGTCATCTCAAGAATTCGAGACGAGAGAATACATCGAAAATACAATATTTCATTCATGAATTGAAAATAAGGAAATGATGTATAACTGGAGACGTTCTCCATTATTTCCTCATTTTCATTTTTCTCTTTCTCATTTCGTTAGGGACCAGATGCTTACCGCGTCTTCTTGATATGTGACTGTGTATATGTTTATTTTCAGAGACAACTTATCATGTATTGTTTTGTCTTTAAGCTCACCTTGCCTTTTTTGTAATCATACAACTTTTCAAAGTACTTAAATTGTGTTTCTACTGGTGAAAGAGTTTGAGAACCTTCGAGAAACTTTTATAATATATTAGCTACACATAAGCTTAATAATTGTTCCAGTTGGCGCTATCAAAATGCCAGAACACAGTGATCGGCATCAGCGGTCGTTTGAAGGGCATCTCCGGAGGGGAGATGAAGCGGCTGTCGTTCGCCAGTGAGGTGCTGACGGATCCACCTCTCATGTTCTGCGATGAACCGACATCAGGCCTGGACTCGTTCATGGCACAGAATGTTATACAGGTATTTTTCTTAAGATATAATTTACTTATAAAGGACAAATAGTTTATTTATTTATAAATATACAACTATCTGACAGCTAATAGCCGAGGCAATAGTTGTGTTGCTTAATTATTTAGGATTAAACGTCGTTTTTGCAAATTCGCTCTGAGATCTAATTTAAAGTTTATACACTGTATAATTCTCTCATTTTCTCCCACGTTAAATCTTATGAATTTATGTGTCTGTCTCTTTTTCGTTTCATCAACTTTCAAATCACAACGATGCTAAAGAAGTTTTCACTTCAAAAAGAACCGACTCGCCATAATCAACGCACATATATTTGTACAATAAATGTAAAGTCGCTCGTAGGCAACGGCCGTCCAATGGAATTGGAACATGCTCTGCAGAACAAGAAGCGGGATATTCTGGGCCTCTGATATTAGAAAAGAAGGAATACACATGTTGAACACGAATACTTCATTTCGTTCAACACACTGAATAATCTAAGAATATTCAAGAACAATATAATAACATAATACAGCAAATTAAAACCCTTGTCGAAAAGTCACCTGGCCGCGCCTGACCCACGACAGACACGATTAGAACCGGATGGAAAAGGCTTCGATCCAACGGCCAAACCAAAACTTGACTATGCAAGCATATGATGGTTCCTAAATGTTACATTATATTTTACCTACTGTTAAAAGTAAATTTTTAGGATCCATATAAATGACGCTTCAATGTTTATAATTAGGTTTTGGGAATAAAGGCTATTGTTACTATTAACCACTCGCAACGGTTCTGTTAAGGGGGCCTTGTATAGTTTGGTATGATGTGAAAAACGAGTATTTATTAAACTACCTAATCTGGTACTCAATAACTCACAATAGCGAATGCTATCCTCCGATAAACTCGGGAATGAATAAGGGACGATACCAAAGATGTTATCATTGATTCCCAAATTTCATCTATGATATTTTAATTCGCCAGAATGTTCGAAATTCCGTCTGGTTTTGCTTCGCACCACTATGTGGGACCAGCCCACTGAAGTATTTCCGAACCAATTTGACTTAGGGTCAAGAAAAGAGCGTACTTTCTATGTGCGCATTTAACATTCGGTCAAACGGTGAAGGAAACATCGTGGGGAAACCGGCTTGCCTTGCACAGGGGCTGATCTCCTACTTACCTATTAGATTGATCATATACAGAATTCTGAGGCCCTAAAAAGGCTGTAGCACCACTGATTTTTTTAATCGATTATTACGGATGAAGCATCAATTAATTTGTTGATAAAATTGTTTCAGGTGTTAAGCGGCCTTGCGAAGAAGGGCAAAACTGTGATCTGTACGATACATCAGCCGTCATCTGAGTTGTACGCGATGTTTGATAAACTCCTCATCATGGCAGATGGCAGAGTCGCCTTCCTCGGTTCTCCCGATCAGGCTACTGAGTTCTTTAAAGAGTACGTATTCATTTATCTATAATACCCTTCAAACTAAATTTATTCATATAGGTAACCAAGTACACTTATGAACGTCAACGGAAAAGATGTTAAGTTATTTCTAAATTTTCATTTACTACCAGTTCGCAAGTTAAGTGCGGCAAGAGCGGGCTTCATATCTGTCTTTTCATATCTCCAGTGGAGAGTGGGCCCCGGGCCGGGCCGCGCGGGGGGGGGGGGGGGGGGGGGGCGGGGGGGGCGGGGGAGGGGGCCCGCCCCCGACACCAACACAACAAACCAACAAACTCCTGAAGTCGGTTTGGATTTTGATTTTTCGTTTTTGGTTTTTGTTTTTTTTTTAATTTAAAGAAGCTGACAAAACAAAAAAAAGAGGGGGGGGGGGGGGGGGGGGTTTTTGTTTTTTTTTTTTTTTTTTTTTTTTATTAAATAAAAAAAAAACCTGTTAAAAAAAAAAAAAAAAAATTTTTTTTTTAATTTTCAAAATAAACAAATTTTTTTTTATTTATTATGTTTTAATAAAAAATATAAATAATAATGGGGTTTTACAAGGGGTGTTTCACACGAAGAGGAAAAAAAAAAAGAAAAAAAAAAAGATAAAAAAAAAAAAAAAAAAAAAAAAAGAAAAAAAAGGGGGGGGGTGCGGGGGGTCCGAATTTTTAAAGGGCTTTCTGGGCAAAAGGGGGGGAGAAGGGGGGGGGGGGGAGGGGGTGTGAAAAAAAAAAAAAAAAAAAAAAAAAAAAGGGGGGAAGGGGGGGAGGGGGGGGGGGGGGGGGGGGGGGGGGAAAAAGGGGGGGGGGGAAAGGGGGGGGGGGGGGGGGGGGGGGGCGCGGGGGGTTCGGGTGGTGGGGTAGATTAAAATTAAAAATAAAAAAAAGAGGGGGGGGGGGTGTTGAAGACGGGGGGGTTTTTTTTTTTAATATTAGTATGGAATAAAAAAGTTTTTTTTTTATAAAAAAAAGGGGTTTATTTAAAAAAAAAAAAGATAAAAAAAAAATAAAAAAAAAAAAAAAAAAAAAAAAAAAAAAAAAAAATATAATAAATTTTTTTTTGTTTTTTTTTTTTTGGGGTTTTGGGGGGGGGGGGGTTGTTTGTTTTTAATAAAATTATATAAAAAAAAAAAAAAAAAAAATTAAATTAAAAAAAAAAAAAAAAAAAAAGGGGAAAATAAAAAAAATGGGGAAGGAGGGGGGGAGGGGGGGGGGGGAGGGGTGAGAGAGGGGCGGAAAAAAATATTTTGTGTTTTGAAGGATGGTTTTTTTTTCTTTTAAGGAGGTGGGGTGGGGGTAGAAAAAAAAAGAGGGGGGGGGGGGGGGGGGGGGAAAGGAGGGGGGGGGGGGGGGGGGGGGGGGGGGAGAGTGGGACAGATATATTTTTGATTTTTTGTTTATTGTCTCCCGGTTAGATCGTCACAACGTCGTAAGACAATGTTACCAAATGTCTAATAAAAAAATTATTTAAAAAGCAAACATAAGTTTTGTAAATTTAATGTGAAAATTGTTCACTTCTTCACGTTCTATAAGAAACTACTACTACTAGTTTTCTACCGTTAAACTTTGTGCAATCCATGTAATACCAAGTCGGTTAATATATTCAGTCCCTACTTAAGGGACCTTCTATCTTAAGTTATTACGTAATTTTCAAAATTCAAAATTTCAAATAATTTATTCATATAGGTAACAAAATGTACACTTATGAAAAAATAAATATATATGAAATGCTTCTAATTTTACATTTACTGCCAGTTCTCAAATCAAAGGCGTACGGAAGAGAAGAACTGGCAATAAACTCTCCGCCACTCTTTTTGATCGCCAAGTTTTTTTTTTAAATTAGATAATATAGTGGCTATATCAAGCGTGTAGTCTCGCGTAGATCAAAGATTTAAAAAAAATGTTACCTTCTATCTGGTCCACAGCTTAGGCGCAGCATGTCCCACTAACTACAACCCAGCAGACCACTACATCCAACTCCTGGCTGGAGTACCAGGCCGCGAGGAGACCACGCGTCACACCATCGACACCGTGTGCACGGCATTCGCCAAGTCAGAGATCGGATGCAAGATCGCCGCCGAGGCTGAAAATTCTATTTTTAATGAGGTATGATATTTATTAATAATAAAATAAAAAAATAAATGATTTCATAAGTGGTACATTCCAAATGATTAATTATAAAAAACCGCACAATCAGTCATAAAAAATAGGCATGCAAATGTCATGTTAATTATGATAATATCACATATTAAGACCATAGTTCTTATTATATGGGTTCATAAAGATTTTAGTTGGCGCCTGGTTGATATTACCGGTGAGTTGGTGCTTTACTCGCTCAACGTATATCGCGGCGAGGAAACGCTGCCACCGTTAATGGCACACTGCCACAGGGACCAGACTTTTTAATTTTATTTTCATCAATTTTTAATTATTTTTATTATTACTATGTAGGATAATAATAATAAATACTGTATATTTGATTTTAATAACGAATAAAAACTTTATAAGACTATAATGTCATAATAATGAGTTAAGTTATACACGCCCAAGCTTTAAAGGCACCTTGCCTTTAAAAATTTAATCAGTAGTCTTAATTACTAGACCACTTGCAACACTCGGTCCAGGATATTCTGTGACATCAAGCCTATATCTTAGTCCCCTGTCCAAGATTTATTCTCTGGTTTAGAAATTCGACATGCAGCCATGTACTTTTTAAGCACGGTACGGTACAACCAAAGGTAGAGAAACAAATTAACCAGAAACCCAGCGGACACCTTATAAGACCGGTAGGCTACGATGCCCTTTTTATGATTTTGGTTGGTTTGGCTTGTTTTTCATATGTTTCTTGCCATATCTCTAATATTGCTCCAGGGCTCTATAGAGCTTTTCTTAAGTTACTATTAAAGTAAAGATTTAATCATATTATACTGCTGAGTGCTTGTTTGTTGTGTTCGAATTCAAAAATATATTTTATCTAATAAGTACGCAATTTATCGTGATTTGAGTGAAAGTCTAAGAGATATTTTTTTTAAATATCTCTGCTACAGAATATTTGTCAAATACCTTGCGCGCATATGCCATGCATGGTCTTTAATTTAATTAATAATTAATGATAAAACCACAAAGAATATTTTATTTATTATTATTCTTTAATATTTTATAGAGAACATAAATTTTGTTCCAAGGAATAAGAATTCCTCATTTCTATTTATTAATTGATAATTAAATATATATTGATTTAGATTCGACTTTTTTATAAAACGTTACGATGTTATTTCCATACGAAATTGGGAACTATAATAACAAATATCGACGACCACGTTTTATAAGGTCGCATAACTGTTACAATCAGATCATCAAATTGTTTTAAATCAACAGCGCAAAATCTCAAAAGGCTGGGCGGATTCTGCATGGTCAAATGCAGCTGCCTTCAGAGCTCGTCGGTCGCCATACAAGGCGTCCTGGTGCGCCCAGTTTAGAGCTGTTCTATGGCGGTCTTGGCTCTCAGTCACTAAGGAACCTATGCTCATCAAAGTGCGCTTCCTGCAGACCGTCGTAAGTGTTTATAGTAAATTATTTTAAAACTTGACATTTATTTCATACATGACACATTTTGCAAAAGAATAAAATAATTAATCAACGACTTACTTGACTTTAAGTCCTATGTTTCTTTAAAATTAGATTGATTAAGTCAGTCACAGCTAATTCGCATTATTATTGTCACTACACTCTTCCATTGTATTATGTTGTTTTACATTAAAATTTAGAAAACGCCATCAAAATTATTGTGGTTTGCCGACGCCATATTGACGGTTTGGAAGTGTTTCGTTAGGAGTTTGAGGATGGCAGAAAGTGAAACTAAATTTAATTTAACAGTCAATAGGCTAAGCAAGTAGTGAAACGTCATCGATCCAAGTCATTTGCCTAGCTGTTTGATCAATTGGCTGATCTTTCAGGCCGCTAGTTAGTTAAAAGGCTAGGCTGTTAATTGGACGGCTTATTAAGCTAGTTGACTCCGTCATATACATCGTCTCGACCTTAGCCACTCGGGCACTTCGTGACAAAAAGGCCCGTAAGAGGCCCCGACACGTTCTAACAGATCTAATCATGATCTAATCACCGTAGCCAATGACAAATTAAAAAATCACCCGCGCGGCAAAGCAAAATCAAATTCAGATTAGGGTAACCGCCTTCACCAGTGTCGGTATGTGTTACTTTATAATTCGCTCACTCCAGTGAGCTTCCTGTCCTTCAGGAGATTGACATCCTTGCGCGTTAGGCGTGGTAATGCTGGTCGAAACTCCTTTTAGGTTGGAGGAACTATTCATAAATCCACACGTTAGTTGTACGTATTATGTAATAGTTTAAGCGAAACTAACCTTTCTTGTTTTAGATGGTATCAATTCTTATCGGATTGATATACTTCGGACAGAATTTGGATCAAGATGGAGTCATGAACATTAATGGCGCCATCTTCCTCTTCCTTACCAACATGACCTTCCAGAACATTTTTGCTGTTATTAACGTAAGTAGAATTTATCAATAAAACAGAACTAAATATTTCGTTTCCGCGTGTGACTTTCATACCTGAAGTCGTAAATTCGAACTCCGGCTGTCAAACAATGGCATTTCTCTCTATATGCGCATTTAACACTCGCTCGTACGGTGAAGGAAAACATCGTGAGGAATGTCTTAGACCCTAGAATCAAGCATAGCAGGATCCTGGATTACCTACTTGCCTATCAGAAAAAGCAAATGATTTTGGAACAGATACAGAAATCTGAGGTTCATCCCTTAAAAGGTTTTATCGCCACTGGCTTACACAAAATAAACACAATAGAAAAGTTTTAACCCTCATGAAATTAAAAAAAATTACGAGTTGCTTCTTGTTTTGGCCTCCCATAGATTCCCATTTAGATTTTCCCATTCCAGTATCCAATTTGAAGTCCGTATATCAAAAATCGTATGGGATTTGACGCACGGTCGTTATACCTATCAATCTTCATCCTAAGTCTTATCCTCAATCGGTAATACTGTAGACAAAAAGGCAGTAGGGTCTTGAAGTAAACAAGCATCACAATGCATCCAGCGTACGAGCAGTTGCGTAACTATACCATCTGGGGCCCGTGGCTAATTCTTTTGATGGGGCCCTATCAGTAAAAATCGTCACATTGTACTCAGTTTAATTTTAATAAACTTCGAGATTTTTAGCGTTCTCAATTACACGTATATGTCCCACTAATGGCCAAAGGCCTCCTCTCTTAGGCGAGACGGCATGGTCTGTAGTCCCCACGCTAGCCCAATGCGTATTGGAGATTTCACATTCATCCATAGAACATAATATCTCTTGGGCAGGGGCCCTCTTGGGTCGGGGCCCGTGGGATTTTGCCAGCCCTGCCACCCTATTGTTACGCCACTGCGTACGAGTAATCCTATTAGTTATCTCGTTATCCTCTTCACTCCTTCTCGCCTGTTACTTGATAGTCTATCATTCTCCTCTTTGTTTTTGTGTCAATGTATTTTTTCATAAAAAAATGTTAACCGAGTCCTGTTCTGTTTATTATTTTCTTTATTCTGGAAAAGTAAATGAACTTCCTCAGCCTCAGCCAACTTTCGCTCAGACTTAGATTTCTGAAAATCTTACTTTCTTAATTTTTTTGTGATCAGCATTTAGGTGATCAGCCTTCTGTGGCTAGTTGAGTTACTGGTATATTATATAGTAATTTACAAAACAGGTGAAATTCAAATACTTATAAATTATTGTACGCAGGTATTTTGTTCCGAACTACCGATATTCATCCGCGAGCACCATTCAGGGATGTACCGAGCAGACGTGTACTTCCTCTCGAAGACGCTCGCGGAGGCGCCGGTCTTCGCCACGATACCTTTGGTGTTCACCACCGTGGCTTATTACATGATCGGACTAAACCCATCCCCTGCGAGATTCTTTATTGCATCAGGTCTTGCTGCCCTCATCACCAATGTTGCTACGTCATTTGGTAAGTTTTTTTTCATCATTATTTTGTCTTAACTAATCCGAAGGAACCCCACAATAATAGCTACAACAATCATTCTACAATTAAAAATGCATTTAAATATAATTATATATACCTAGATCTTATAACTAATAACATAACAAGCAGCTCTTGTGAACTCAGCCAATGTACATAAGTATAATATAATATACTAGCTGACCCGGCAAACGTTGTATTGCCATGTATATACATATATTATTTGCCATGTACTTTATTTCTAGGAAAAAAATTTTAGTTCAATAAAAATTACTATCAATAATAAAAATAGGGGTTGATCGTAGAGCGGTGAACATTAAGGGTTGTATGTATTTTTGTATGATGTATCATAAAAAAATATAAACAAAAAATTTTGTCGAAAAAATATAAAAAAAAATTGGGGTGGACACTCCTTATAACTTAGGGATTTGAAAGATAGATGGTAGTTGATTATCAGACTTACTGGTTATGCATAAAAATATTCATAAAAATCGGTCGAGCCGTTTCGGAGGAGTATGGGGACGAACATTGTGACACGGGAATTTTATGTATAAAGAGATGTTAAATGTTCTCAAGCACAATAAATGTGAGACAGCGTAGTCAGGGTATTTTTTATTTAACGAATACCAAGTTGAATAAAAAAACTAACAAGAAAAAAAAAACAAAATCCAATTGAGACCAATGTTTCGCGGATTTTTTTATATTCCGGTGACATATATAATATATAGCACGTCAGCTAGCTAGAGTTTTCGTGTGTGATATTATTTCGATAATTGTTTGCATTTAATGGAAAGCTCTAAAATTTCTAAAAACCATTTATTACTTTACTAATATAACCTTTTAATATAGTTTATTCCTTATAGAAGTAATTAAACAGCAGGATCAATATATAACATAAAATATTTATAAAATCATGAATGCTTTAAAGTAAATAGGCACGCCTAGTTTGTCTTATCGAAGGTTCCATCAAATAATATATAAGTATAAGCAGCAGCCTAACGCCTGCAGAATTTCTGCATACGTTTCATATTTGGTCTTAGAAAATATGACCATGTGTCTAAATTCCGCAGGCAGCTGGGGTGGCTACCTATTCGATTCAGACGTCACGCTCATCTTCTTCAACTTCCATACTCAATTCTTTTAAATCCGAAAACCCCTTCTTATCTCAAAAATCACTTCAAATTCTTAGGTCCTTCTAACTATATGTTACGCTCTTCTAATAGATGTTTATTGGAAATTCCATCCCACACTTCATCCTTCTTAGGCAATTCATTTACGATCTCCGCCATTAAGTTGTGGAATACGCTGCCTGACTCCGTACGATTGGCTACCTCTCTGTCATCTTTTAAAACTCTTCTGTATAATCATTTCTTAACCTTATCCTATCCTCATCAATCGTGACTTGTATAATTCTTATGATTCCTTTTACATCACTATTCGCTGTTCATGTATTTGTAAGATTAGTTTTTAAGTTTTTAGTTTGTTATTAATATTTTTTTTTGTATTACTTTAGATTAAGAATTCTGTACTTCTCGCACGCATCATGTGTCTTTTTTTTTAGTTTTTCTCTTAACTAGGGTTGCCTGGAAGAGATCGCTTATTAGCGATAAGGCCGCCTGTTGCATCCCTTATAATTTTTATGTATTGTGTTTCTTATATTATTAGCAACGAAGTGTAAATAAATAAATAAATAAAATATAAGACATATATATCACAGCCAACTTTTTACCAACCTACGCAAAATATATCGTTGTGAAATAATCTAATAAAACACTGCGTGTGTATATAATACAGTGTTATTATAGTCTATAGTTCTTTCTTCGTTATATCTTCACCATTTATATTGAAATTAACCAAATCGTAATCGTGCCACATTCCTTAACCGGCGCTTTGGAAAAAAGGAGTGGCATTATTGTTCACCACAAGTCTATTTAATTTAAAAAATCAAGCTCTCTGAGAAATAATCATGGACGTCATACGATTCTATGATTTTGCCTATTGTACCGATTACATTAACATATTATTAAAGTGTTATTTAATTACCAGCCTGTATTTGAATTGACATAGAATTCTTCTTCGGATACGCATCTCGGCGTGGTGATCAGTCCATAGATCACCTTGTCGTCAAGGGAAAGTGGAAGGCAATAGACCGCGCGGAAGGTCACCTACGCGTTGGTCTGACGAAATCAAGTCTGCCGTAGGAGGTTCAATCAATGAGTGCAGCAGGATGAACTTTAATAGGCAACGATGGCGTAACGTGGTGGAGTGAAGTGAAATCTGCCCCTTCTAATGTTACATAATAGTACCTACATAGCGATCACGACCGCTCTGTCAAGAATGTACCGGATAAGAAGAAGAAGAGAATACTTAGATATTTCAGCTGTCTGTCAAGATTATATTACTTTAAAGACGCAATCAAGTTGCAGCTGCGTCAACTATCAAAACTATCAAAAGCTGCGTCAACTATTCAGTAGACCGCTGGACCGTTTTTAAAATATAAAATATTTTATTAGTACTAAGTTATTATATATATTGTTGTGACTTGAAAATAAACAGTCCGTCTTTAGCATTCGTGAGAATTTGCGTGGGGTTTTTCGTAGTCAGAATGGCATAGCAGACTTGCAGAATCGTTTTTATTCAAAACGTAGGTTAGCATTAATATACTTATTTCCTTCTATTTCTTTGTTACATTAACTTACTTATAATTCAATAGATCGAAATAACATTCTATAGCTGCCTTATAATCACCATATTATATCATATAATTTGCTACTTTTTCTAAAACATAAAAAAATGAATATGCTTGAATCGCCCTACCAAACGCGATATCTAAGCCTAGAGATTTAACAGTGCAATGTAAATCTTTAAGGTAGCCGTTTTTCTGTATCTCAATATATAAATGTTTGTGTTATATGCACAAATATCAAACCAAAAACTTTACACATTATATATTACCAGAAAGTATCTCTTGTTAATTACACTAATTAATTTAAAAACGAATGTTAATACGAGTGCACAGGCGCTAATTAATGATATAAGATGGTGCCTGGTAGATATTACCGGTGGCCCCAGAGCATAAGGTCCCTCCTTGTAGTTTAATGTTTATCTGAATGCCAAATCGTAAAATGACTGCTTTACGACTGATTTGAGCGCGACCGCCGCTACGAAAACCGCTGTGTGAGTTCGAAAAGTGAGTTACAGAATCGCAAGGCTGGTGCTTTCTTCGCTCAACGAATAAGTATCGTAATACGGTGAGAAACTGCTGCCAGCGTTAAAGATACACTGCCACAGAGACCGAAATTTTTAATTTAGTCGCATTTTCTATTTATAATTTTTTTATTATTGTAGGTTAAAAATATTGTCAATACTGTATATTTATGTGTTGGAGATAAATAAATCATTATACTAATAATTGTGAAACATTGTAACACAGCTCCTTATATAGTCGAGTTAAAAAAAACTAGGCATAGCTGACGTCAATACGATTCTATTTTAATATAGTATCCGGTGATTAAAATTGAATAATACAATTAAGTAACGATTGACGCCACCTTTGACAATCACTTGGAACTTGTTTTTGCTTAATCCCGTGAGTGGAAACAACTGACTACTTTGGAAACGTAACAATTGCGTAATTACATTTTTAATTATCTATTTATGTGTACGAACGCTGGCAGCATTAAAGGTACACTGCCACAGGGACCAAACTTTTTAAATTTGTTTTAATTTTTTATTATTATGTAAGTTAAGAATATTGTAAATACTGTATATAATAAGTAACATTAATAAATGTCTAATTATATAAAAAATATATATGATACCTTCAAAGTCGAGTGTATGATACCTTCTAGGCGCAATAGGAAATCGGTCCCCCCCCCCCCCCCCCCACGGGCCCGGCCCGGCCCCCCTGGGGGGGGGGGGGGGTGGGGGGGACCCCGTGGGGGGGGGGGCCCCCGGGGGGGAAATGGGGGGGGGGGCCCCCCCCCCGGGGGGGGGGGGGGGCGGGGGGCCCCCCCCCCCCCCCCCCCCCCCTTTGGGGGGGGGGGGGGGGGGGGGGGGGGGGGGGGGGGGCGCCGGCGCCCCCCCCCCCCCCCCCCCCCCCCCCCCCCCGCCCCGCGGCCCGGGCCCGGGCTTTTCCGCCCTCGCCCCCCCCCCCCCCCTTTTTTTTTTTTTTTTTTTTTTTTTTTTTTTTTTTTTTTTTTTTTTTTTTTTTAACCCCCCCCCCCCCCCCCCCCCCCCCCCCCCCCCCCCCCCCCCCCCCCCCCCCCCCCCCCCCCCCCCCCCCCTTTTTTTTTTTTTTTCTCCCCCCCCCCCCCCCCCCCCCCCCGGGGGGGCCCCCCCCCCCCCCCCCCCCCCCCCCCCCCCCCCCCCCGGGGGGCCCCCCCCCCCCCCCCCCCCCCCCCCCCCCCGGGGGGCCCCCCCCCCCCCCCCCCCCCCCCCCCCCCCCCCCCCCCCCCCCCATAACTGATTGTTTTGCAGGTTATCTGATATCATGTGCCAGCAGTAGTGTAAGCATGGCCGCGTCTGTGGGTCCTCCCATCATCATACCATTCATGCTGTTTGGAGGTTTCTTCCTCAACTCAGGGTAAGTTTATTAGAATAGTTTGTATACAACTATTCTCCTCTATATAAACAAGGCCATACCATTTGTCCATCCTTTCAGAAGAACGCGTTTTGGCCAAAACACACCGATATCCAGATTGATAACTTTCATTAACGAGCTATCCATATTTGCTCCCCTTCACAGTTTGAAATCGATGTTCCCTTACTTTTTATAATTTATGAATCAAATGAATAAAGAAGAAGAGAAAAAGAATCAAATGAAGCAAATATGAATGTTTGCTTACAAGTGTTTTTCACATTAAAACTTCTATTTTTTTACTGTAGCAATATATGTACTACTACTACTATATATACTGAAAAACTTAAAAATTGTGTTAATCAGACGGTTTTAACTGAATCATTGTTAACATCACAGGATAAACCTAATTTGATAGAAAACGACAGGTTAGGTAAAAAAAACTGAGGGATTAGGTAACATATATATAGGTATACTGAGGCAAATTTTAATGAAACTGGAAATCTATGCCTACAGCATGTTTTAAAGATATTATGGGGTAAACCGTATATAAAATGTCCTGGCTTGGAGACGTTTTATACAACGTGAACAATTTTTTTTATGTAGAAATCACATACCAAATTTATTTTTTAAAGAAGAACAGACACATAACATTTATTACAACGAAACACACACACACAAAGACTTACAAAATAATTATAATAAAAAAAGAAAAATAACAAAAAAATATAGAAAAAAAGAAAGGAATAAGGTACATTCTAAGTGGAATGTGTGTGTGTTGTGGTTGTAACTGGCCCTGGCTCAGCATTATGCTGTGGAGCAGACGTGTTCCACAGCGCTGGTAATTCTGCCAGAGACTACAACAGTTAGTTTAAGAAGATGAAAACCCGCTGACCACGATTGTGTGAGAAGCACTCCAAGCGTCGAGTTATGTAAATAATATATTAAACTCAAGAATTTTCATTTAAATATTTAAGCAAATTCAAGAAGTAACAAATCGTCAAAGTATTGAAGAACCGCTAAGCGATAACATTCTGATGTAATAACAAAATTATTCAAAACATCGAACCAAAAACACCTCAGGTTATTTTTAGCTGGCTATTTTAGTGCGTTCGTTGGCCTTTATTGGGCCCATATGGGAAACCTACTGTTAGGGTACCTGTGCTCACCGGTTTCTGGAGCTAATAATTTAATTACTTTAGCTTACAATAAGCAATCAATAAAAATTTGTCTTCACAAAATTATAGCAGATATCTTGTCGATGTCAAAAGCCACGAATTCCTTTATTTGTAATTTAAATGTTCCGAATTATATTGTGTCTGTGTAAACAGTAGTTTCTGTGTTCCTTTTCTGAAAGCTGTCTAAGGCCCATATTAACGGAAATAAATAAATGCAATTTGTATTTACAACATTGCGATAACTTTTTGTAAGTTAGGTTTTTCTTGCATTTTTTAAAGAATTATCGCGAGGAAGCTTTGGCGAGAACTTTAGAGAAGGCGTTTGTCACCATTTTACAATTCTTTTTTTACCTCAAAACTGTTCCAATGTTTATCAAGTGATTCAATTTGATATAATTTCCTAGATCTGTACCGCCATACCTCGGATGGATATCCTATCTATCTTGGTTCCGGTACGGCAACGAGGCGCTACTTGTCAACCAATGGGCTGGTGTAGAGAGCATCGCCTGCACTCGGGAGAACTTCACCTGTCCGGCATCAGGAAAAGTTGTTCTGGACACTCTGAGTTTCTCTGAGGTAATCTATGGACATTTTTATTTAGCGTTTATTCCTGGTCTTAAGAAACAGAAAACGGCTAATAAAAGTATAAAATTAACAATGCATTATTGCAAGAGTTTATGGACCTGAGTGACAAAGAGTCGAAATACTTTAGTAATTCAGTCTATCATCGTGAGTTAATTAGAAGTTTTAAGGAGACATAATTATAAAAATCACTTTAGTTGTCACAAAAACAATTACATTTTGTACTTATATTCTAATGGTTGTAACAACGAATCGTTGAGATACACTTTTCATTTTGGTTAACCTTATATACTTCTATGAGCACTAGCGTTTGAACTAGGCCTAGCCTTTATTTTAAACTCTAGTTCCTTGCAGTGACAATAACAAATTGGTTGTTTGTCATTAGATGTTTATTCATGTTATATGTTTATTAAACTAAATAAAGGTAGAATCTATAGAGGTTTTTGCAATTTGTTAGACCGTAGTAAATGTGAACTTAAACACAATTTGATTTGGTCTAGGTAACAACATATGGAAATCTATGAATATATGTTTTAAAGATATTATGGCGACTTTAAGATGTCTTGATAAAGATTTATAAGGTGTGGTGTAAATTGGTTTCCGGTGACATTTCGTCTATTGACGCAGGTTTTGCGGATATCAATTTAATAATTAAAATGCTGATACGGTCCAACTTAGATTAATAGCGGAATTTACGAAAAATGAACGGAAAGTTTTAATGTTTGTTTTTAACATATAAATTATTTAGTGTCAAAATTTTATTACTCTGATAATAATTATTATGTGTGAAATTCATATTTATTTTATTATATTCGAGGACGGAATTTAGTGAAGCGTTTAATGCATATTCATGTCTATGAAATAATCAATGGTTATTTATTGGATATTTTCCATTCGTAGAACTTTTTAATATATCTTTGAAAGAGTATCTATATTAATTTTGGTATTCAATACTCAGAAAAAATTACGTAAAAATGCAACTGGGATTAATGTAACACTAAATAACAACCAAACATATAAAGGAATATAATAACATTATTTATACACATGACGATGGCAAAAAATAAAATAGGGTGGAAAAGGTTGGAAGTGGCCTTCTCCCGAGAAGTTTGCCGAAACCGGCAAACTTCTTGAGCATTAAACAAGGGAGTGGGGGAAAGTTTGCGCAGCTGGGACACAAACGTCAACTGATTTACCAATCACGCGATCGACACCTCACTCTCTCGCCACCGCGCACCACCGCCCCTGCAGTGATACCTAAAAATCGCTTCTACGCGCAAGGACATTAATTGTTCTATATGTTTGCCAGTATCTGTATCTATTTTTGTAAAATGTATGTCAATAAGATGTGGATAAATTAATGCTTATTATTATTTTACACATCATACAAGAAGGAAGAAAAATAAATTTACCTTTATTATTTCAGGATGACTTCAACATGGATGTAGTGAATATGGTGCTGCTCTTCATAGGGTTCCGATTCCTTGCGTACTTAGCACTCTTGTGGCGCACGCGCAGAGGGAAATAACTACCGACATCTAGCCGTTAAGCAATATATAAACAATCAGGGTTACTCCGTAACATTACGCGATTTCAATATTGTATAATAATTCCAAGTTTGTTTTTGAACTATTTGAATTGGGTTAAGTAGACGTCATAATAATTGAAATCGGTGTCCGTTTTACAGAGTAGCCCTGCAATTGAGAGAATACTCCAGAGTTAATTCTCCAGTTTTTCAATTGATTAAGTATAGGTGAGGATTGATTCTGGTATTTCGACTTCACAACGCTCAAGAGAACAAAAAATAGTTAATTGATCAAAATTAATTCCATAGACAAAAATTGTTTTTAAAATTAGTAATTTCTAATAATTTAGTTAAAATTATTATGTGTTAACATTATTATTAGCAGATTATTATGTGGACAGTGTGTTTGTTTTTAATAGTAGTGTAAGTTAATGTTTTTTTTTAATACGTTAAAACCGCAAATAGCTACAACGAATGTTTAAGAAATAAGTAATAAAAATACATTATATAAACCAAACCTTTTTTATTCGCATGGTTATATACTTAAAACGATTTGGACTTATCCAAAACGAGTATTTGGACTCAATCAAAATTTCTCCTAGAAATGTATTGGGTATTGAGCGAGAAATAGAATGTGCCTTGCGAGTTACTTTAGAAGTATTCAATTTTACGTCTTTATTGTACGTACAAAAATTGAATTAAATTTAAAATATTCATGAACGTTTTAAAGCTGGAGTTTTTCTATTGGAAATAAATTATCGTGAAAAAAACTTCTCAAGCAATTTATTATTTAATAAGTTCTATCTCGTAACAGCCTATTAGCGTTACTTGGGTGAGTAATTAATATGTTTATGTTATGTTATGAAATGTATTGGAATAAAATCCAACATTAGTATGACGAAGCAAGTAACCTCAATTCTTTAACAATTTATGTTTAACATACTTGTATTGTATACAGTAGCGAATTACCAGGGAAGGAATGTTAAAAAATTCAAGAATTATACATATTTATTACGCAATATTTAATGTTGACTTGATATAATTTTGCAGTTTTGTACATGCGTCTTGTATATTGTATTTACTGAATTTCATTATAAAAAATTCATTCTATTAATAATTTCTGTATTCATTTGTTACTATTTTATTAAAATATTTTAATAATATCGATATTTTATTTACATAACCTTTATGTTTATTTATTTTACAAAAATAATCGTCATAAGTGGCACGTAGGCGGAATTTATTGAACGAAAGAATACACATTGTTGTCGTAATTTTTTATTTGCCATTTTAATTACATGAATATTTTTTAATTCACCCATCTAAGGTATGCGACATTAATAAAAATGAAGGTTAATGATAAATCCCAGTCTTAATTGATTGTTTAAAGAATATTTTGTAGGTGAATTAATACTTAAATTCAAAAAAATAAAAAAATATGTGTTTTAAGCAAAAAAGCTGGGGCGGCCGCAGAACAGGCAAAAAATTATAAACGGCACAAATATAAGAGTCTTTCCTCCAACTTCGATTTTGTTCCCTTTGGAGTAGAGACTCTTGGGCCGTGGGGACAAGTGCACAGGCGCTTATTAAAGATTTAAGTTGGCGCCTAGTAGATAGTACCGGTGACCCCAGAGCTGGTACTTTCCTGGGTCAACGAATAAGTATCGCAATACAGCGAGGAAATGCTGCCACCGGTTAAAGTACACTGCCACAGAGACCAGACTTTTTAAATTTATTTTGATTTTCTTTTAAATAATTTTTATTATTACTTTGTAGATTAAGAAAATTGTAAATACTTGACTGTAAATATGTTATATATGTGAATTCAAATGTTGTTATACCACAAATTCTAAATTTTTTTTTCAGATATGCTTAATGCTTTCTAGATTAAATATTGTGAAAGCAAAAATTTTACGCCCTTTCGGAACTAAAGTTTGCTAAATAGATTCTTATTATTATTTAGACAAGATTTTTGTTAAGGTAAATTGGTTTTCACCGAATTTTTTTTTTTAAATAGTACACACTATTTAAAACTGTAAATTTGAGTACTAGGTTTACTAGTTTTGCTGTTTATTAGTTTTGTTCTCGTTCTACCTCTGCCAGTGTGTCCAGGTACTTTTTTTCCATCAAACTCAAACTCAAAATATCTTTATTCATGTAGGTAAACAAGTACACCTATGAATTGTCAGAAAGAAGTTAAATTAATTGTAAATTTAGTACCAGTTCGCAAGTCAAATGCGTAGAGCGGGTAAGAAGAACTGGCAAGAAACTTTCCACCAATTTTAATCGCCAAGTATTGTCATACAAATTGTTTGAACTAGAGCAAATCAATCCCAAGGATTAGGATCATATAAGTATTCCTCAAATTTATAAAATTTATAATTTTCGTTTAACGAGGGCTTTGAATTTATTTAGTGATAATTCTCTAATTTCGCATGGGAGTTTGTTGTAAAAACGAATACAATTTCCATATAAGGAGTGGTTTATCTTTTGGAGCCTGGTTGGTCGTACACTCAAATTAGTTCTATTTCGCGTATTATACTGGTGAAAGTCACCACTTATATTGTTACTACAGGATACATTAAATAAAATCAAACTTCCTTTCTTCCTTCCTCCCTTCCTTACTTCGTCTCCTGAGACGCGCTCCGGCTGCATCGATACTATTTTTATTTACAATATTCATGGGCGAGCCGGCGCAATTGTTTGAGAGACCCGGTCTTACATTTTTTTGCCTCTTTAATATATGTCATCATTTTAGAACCGTTCCAGCCTTGCGATTCTGTAACTCACTTTTCGAACTCACACAGCGGTTTTCGCATCGGCGGTCGCTCTCAAATCAGTCGTGAAGCAGTCATTTTATGATTTGGCATTCTGATAAACAATAAACTACAAGCTCTCACCTTTTCATATTTCGTATGATTTGAGAGCGACCGCCGATGCGAAAACTGCTGTGTGAGTTCGAAAAGTGAGTTACAGAATCGCAGGGCAGGCACGATCTGTGCTTTGTTAAGATCTCCTGTAGACCGTTACGGTCTACTGTCATCAGTGTTTGTTGCTCCAGGTCGTGCCTGGACGGTGCGAAAATAGGGCAATGTATCAGCACATGTTCTACGGTTTGTTCGCCATCATTGCAGGCACATGTTGGACTGTGCCCTGACATGATGCCCTGTCAGAATTTGTGCCATCTGGGGTGTGAAACGCTTCTCTTTTGTTAACTTATATGCAGTTCTAACATCTCCGGTGAACATTTTTGTATTTCCAGCTACAGCTGTATATTAGTTTAAATTTGCATTAATATAGTAAAACCAAAACAAAAATATACACACACAGGAACTCTCTCTCTCTCTGTCTCTTCAATCGGCAGCTCATGTCTGAGCGTCGTGGTCACCAAGGATGCATATTCAGCGGACTATCTGTTTCCACCGCTGTTTCCAGCGACTCTCTAATAACAGTGTATAGTTTTGAGGACGATTAATCTTTCACTTAATCGGTCCATCTGGTTGGTGAACCAACCACGATCAGTTTTTCCAATTTCTCATCGCCTCTCCGTATTGTATGGCCGATATAAGATACAATTCGCAATAGTAGAAGACAGGCGCAGCGATCCACAATAAATGATTACCTCATAAACGATAATCTTCCACCGTTCCCTGCCCTGTGTCTCGGTCTCGATCTGTCAGGCCTTGCATGTATTTTGATTTAGAGAACTCTTAAACTGTTTGTCGTATTCACACTTATAAAGATGCAGTTGTCAATGTAAAAAATTGAATTTTTTTGTCATTAAATTTAATATTTGTACATATTATATACCTACGAGTTTCTTGTGATTACGTAGTACGTACGTGTGTCGGTCGATCATGTAATTGCTCAGGCGAGAAAGAGATTCCTCAGTCAAAAATTCTTAATTTCTCGGATTTACCGCTTCATTCAATCTACAAGTGTACATATTAAACTTAGGTATCTCAAGAACATTTTTGATTTTGTCTTGATCTCAACTTAGAGTAAAATACAAATTATTTAAAATCAATTTATAAAAATGTAATTAGGACAATAAAAACAGATTTAATTTGCAATTAACAAAATAGTTTATAAAACGATTACGGATTCAATAATTTATTAACTACCGATTCCCACGATTAATATATTATTCCCAGAATTCCGGAAGTACCACATTGAACAAATTAATTATATTTACATAAAATAAGCGGTAATGTGTTGTATCGATCTTAATTACATCAAATATGACTGAAAAATTACACACATTAGGGTTGTATTAAGTTTTTGCGCATTGCAATGATCAGAGGTAACGAAGGTCCCGAATAACTTCAGTTCTCCTAAAAATATATTTATTACGAAACAAATTGATACACTAGTAGAAAAGAAACAAAAGAAAAAAAAAAGATGAAGCTATAATGATCGATGTATTGTAACATAGTCTCACATATATTATGATAAAATTATATAATTATTTGACTGCTTAGAGCAGTGTTGGCCTAATGGTTTAAATGTGCGACTCAACCAAGGTTCAATCCCCGTCTGCATCAATGGACTTTCTGTCTGTGGGCGTAACACACGCTCGTAGACTGAAGGAAAACAGTGAGAAAGCCGGTATGCCTTAGTCGCAAAAATTCGAAGGTGTGTCAGGCACAGAAAAGGTTGATCACCTACTTGCCTATTAGAAATGATCACGAACAGATAAAGAAATCTGAGCCAGAAATGATTGAAATCTGAGACCGAAAAAGTTGTAGCCATTATTTATATATAAATTATATATAATATATGTGTGTATGTTGCACTTGACAACATAACGTTAAGATAAGTAGACAGTATTATTTTAGATGATACTAGCTGACCTGGCAAACGTCGTTTTGCCATGTATATCATTTATAATAAAAAATTAGGGGTTGATCGTAGAGGTGTGAAAATTAGGGGTTGTATGTGTTTTTTAATGTTGTATCATAAAATATCATTTTTTTTTTAAATTTAAAAAAAAATTGATCTAA